TTTATGTCATCGTGTTTTTTAGCACACAGGACTAACAGAAAGAGTTTTTAAGCTCGCGACATTGCCAGGTATTTAGTGCCAATCCTGGGGACAGGATGGGCGCCTTCTCAGCAAGGGTGTCCATCGTAGTGGATAATTATATTCGTATTAGAGGATTTTTGGCAGCGTTGACAAAAATAAAAATAAAGTAAAACAACGACATTCCAAGCATGGGGTTTCCATCTTGCCGTGTCTGGTATGATCCCGACTGTAGCGCACCGATGCTGGGTGCATACAACATTGTGTCATTTATATGCGACGCTATTTAAGATTGTTAACGTGCCAATTGTTTACGTCTCATATTCGGAGCCGATCGGTGGTGGCATTGCTTGTGACGGCGTGGACAGCGAGGCACAGTACCTTATACCGACAGTCGGGAGCCTGTATGCCCACTGGGGTCACGAGCAGCTGCTGCTAGTTTTCCATCAGATTTCGGTCTTCCATTTAGCAGATCCATTTCATCAAACTTCTAACGTGTACTTTCAACGTGCATCAGTCGTGCCTTTGCTGGTGGTGCTGCTGGTGGTGCTGCCTTTGTTTATTCTGCTTCTCCTCCCATTTGATGTCCTTCCCGTTTTTTTCGTTTTTTCCGCTGCTTCTGCTGCTGGTCTTGCTGGTGCTCTTGCTGATGCTGGTACTCCTGCCACCCCTGATGCTGCCGCTGCTGTTACAAGTGTGTTGCGCTGTTTACAATGTCTCTCGAAGGTGCCCAAGTTTTGTTTCGTGGTGTTGTTGGGCTTCCTCATGGCCTTTTCTCGGTCGGAGAATAGCAGTGCAAGCAAAATGATGAACTCCTCGGTGGAATGGCTTCCTTAAAATTCGATTATCAAGTGCTAGAGCTGCACTCAAAGGGTCTTTATCCGTCTGGTCAGAGCAAGCCTTAACTAATTCATATGATACTCCTTCAGCTATGCGGTTAGCTTACACGCCAACGTCAAAGTGGCGAATAGATTTAAGATGAAGGCTGTTCAGCACAAAACATTCTGCTTTACGGACGACAAGAAGTTATTATTTCTATTATATTGGTATTACACCAACTGGACAGAGCTGAACGGAAGCCGAGTAGTTACACATATAAATATGGATGATGATTGACAGGTATATGTCCATCATCACCCATGTCCATCATCCTCGACCATGTGTACAACTATTCCAAAACTCCTGCTCTTAAAAGCTAACGATGCCTTCCTGAAAAATTGTTAAAAGCCTGCACACTGGAAGTTCTTTTTAACGGGCCTAATCGGCGAATGCATGGCCAAACTGGAAGTATTGCGATGGGCTCCGCTCTTGGGCCTTATTTTCTTATTTCTGGATGGACATATAAGCCATCATGCTACGAGATATAGACGTAAAACTTGAAATGTATCGTTGTTATATCGACGATATCTTTACAACGAGCACAGAGCAACATGAACGCCTCGATTAGTAAGAATAAAGCAGTAGAGAATAGAGCAAAAGAATAAAGCAAATAAAATAAATTGATTCGTTGTCAATGAGCCTTGTCATATATATATATATATATATATATATATATATATATATATATATATATATATATCCATACAAACAATGAACCATCCGACTGTTATATCACAAGAAATGACATCTGCCTACAAATAAAACAAAACTTCCATGCTGCGAATCATCTCTCGATGTATGAAAATCCAGAAAGACCACGGAGTAGACCTTGCCATATATTATTGCAACTAAAAAATCTGGAACTTTTTATGAGAAGCAGTCTGGTTAACCTGACAAAGTGAAGTGCTCCTGTGTGGTGTGTCAATTCGAATGCAATCTCGAAGGCTGTAAACTTCGTTTTATACGCTGAATTGGTGTAACCGTGGCGACACTCTCACGACGCCTGGCAATGCACTGTGAGGACGGAGCACCCCTGGGGCACATGCGACAGGGGGGGGGGGGCAGATCAGGACATTGACACGGCAGCTGATGGACAACATTGCGGGAATGCAATGATAGAAAACGGGACCAAGTTTTTGGACAGTATATATATATATATATATATATATATATATATATATATATAGATGAATAGATACATACATGCATGCATACATGCATGCATACATACATATTGTATCAATGAGTTCAGCCCAGTCCTCAACAAACAGCCAGATTATATCACAAAATTGGGTTTTTTAGGTTTTGGATGATGCCTACCGTTGATGTGGCTGCGACTACCTTTCATTGTGCTGTTTTGTTTCCATCACCGATACATTTCACACACATACAAGTAACCTGTTGTATGTGCTGGTCTCTGTGCACGTTTGTGTACGCGGCTAGGTCGGCATGATGTGCGTAGGTGGCTGGCAGAGACGACCGTCGCTGCTACGCGTCTTGAACGTTGGACTCTCATATTATCAAATAGCATTTTTGTGCCCGGGTTGCAGAATGTGCCGGCAGATGTCCTTAGTCGGCTGCCGGCGCTTCCGACGGCGAAGGCCGGAGACTGACGCAGCCGCAGTGGATGGCGATGAAGTGGTGCGCAGCGCGGTGGATGACGATGAAGGGCAGATCTAGGCGGTCAGAGAGGACATCATGCTGCCAGCCACAGCCGAGAACACTGCCGGGGTTTCGAAAAGGAGCCGCCCTAGGTGCCGTGCTGGGCTGCGTCAGGTCAGATGCTTGGCCAGGGAAGGTTGAACAGGTTCCAGTGCAGCCGTGCCTCAGATGTAAGGAAACTCTGACAGACAGAAGCCGACGGATGCCTGCAGATGGGTGAAAAAAGGGTTATACCAGGCAAATTCAGAGATCTGTTTCTATGAGAATGGCATGAGGGGTACATGGATCTACGCAAAATAGAATGTTTGGCACGCGGGTTTTTGTGGTGGCCTCGTTTGGACACGCACATTGCAAAAATTGTAAGCAATGCTCCCGGTGTCAAAACCACGCTCAGATCCCTCCTACACCCACTGTGCATCGATGGGTATATCCCTCGGGCCCACAGAAGAGAGGTCATGTGGATTTTGCGTCCCATTAAGGTAAAATTTACTTGGTGCTCGTGGACGTGTTTTCAGAATGCCCGGAGATAGAGGAAATGTGAAGATCACCAGCTGCAAAAACTGTACAATATCTACCGAAGATACCGGCCGCGCATGGATTTCCCAGGACTCATGTGTCCGGCAATGGTCCACTTTTCACGCCCGAGGGATTCAACAAATATTTGCAGTCCCGAAGTATTTTTCATCGCTTTATACCGCCGTATCACCCAGCTTACAGCGGGCAAGCTGAATCGAGTGTCAAGACATTCCAATCGTTTTTGAAGAGGCAGGGTGAGAATGCGCACCGGGTCTTGGTCGTGCCTCGGCTTCTGGCCGGCACAGAGTGACCCTGTGCATGACCTCTGGGAGCTGATGCTTGGGAGGTTATCTTGCACCGAGCTTTCACTTCTCAATCCCTCTGTATCCCTGCAGACGAAGGGCTCCGAAGGGATTTGTACTCACGAGAATTCGCCACCGTGATCGCCACCTGGCGGTACCACGAGTACCGCCAGGTGATCGGGTACTGCTGAGAGACCCGTGACCGGGCTCTTCAATCAAGTGACGCTGAGCGACCGTGGTTGCACGTGTTGACCGGCTGGTCCACGAGGTCTGCTTAGACAGCAAAACCAGACGCACATGTTTGGACCAGCTGCTGGCGGACGAGGCGCGGGAGCTCTCCCAGGGCCCACTCCGGACCTTGGCGATCGTCCCTGACCCCGTGACCGCGCAAAATGATCCATTTACAGGCTTGTCCGTAGCAGCAGATTTGCGCGGTCCAGGGTTCGGCTTTGACCCGGTGTCACTACCGAAGGCTGCGGAGACCGTACCGAATGTCTTGCGGCCTCAGTGCGCAAGTGATGGCCGGGTGGCAGAACCGTTGGAGAGGCTGAGGCAAAGTTTGTTTTTTGTATAGGGGGAATCGTGATACGTGCCGGTTTGTGCGCATGTTTGTGTGTGTGTGGCTGGGCGCACCTCTGGCCTGACTGGATGGCACGACCGAGGCCACCGGGCAGGGTCACGTGACCCGAGCTGCAGTCCGCTCGTCCCAGCTCTAGAGCACGGGTCAGCTCGGCTGCGGAACTCATGGCCGGTCCGGGCGTCTGGCCCTTCGTTGTATTATATATATATATATATATATATATATATATATATATATATATATATATGTATGTATATATATGTGTGTGTATATATATATATTGCGTTTCCGCATATACATCATAGCCATAAGAATATTTGTCTTTACCGTGCTCCAATATGCTAAAAAGATAGCGATGTACAACTTTCGTTCCTTAACAGCTCAAAACTTATCACTTGTGCCAGTTATATTTTTTCGGAGGGTGAGATATCACCTTGAAACTTGATAATATGAAGATTAACACGAATCTGTAATTGATTTTGTGTGCGAACATTATTTTACGTTTACGACATTGCAAAGTTAGAAGCTTGGGACTTCCAACAATTTATCAAAAATGTAAGTAGTGCGGAATCAATCGTTTTCAATCAAGCATGCGTGCGAGAAGAAAAAATACATAAAAGAAGACGATGTTGTGTCAATATATCCCAAATTTTGTAAATCTGAAAAGCTAGATTCATCTATCTGTTTAGTACGGGTAGGAATTGGCACATCTTTGCTTGCTAATTCTGTCGTTTTCATTTCACTTGAATAGTGACTTTCTTCTTAATTGGTAGACGCTCTTTCAGTGCATGCGTCGGTCTTCGCTGCCTGGTTCCGGTCTCCCCGCCGCCCGGCTCCGGTCTCCCCCGCCGTCCAGCCTCGATCTCCCCTCCGTCTGGCACCGGTCTCCCCCGCCATCTGACACCGGTCTCCCCCTCCGCCTGGCACCGGTCTCCCCCGCCGTCCGGCCTCGATCTCCCCCTCCGTCTGGCACCAGTCTCCTCCGCCGCCTGGCACCGGTCTCCCCCATCGCTCAGCCTCGCGGCGGGTGATCATCACGCCGCTCACTGTTCCATCTGGTGTATTGGGCCGAGTCGGCCCCACACGCCGCCTGAGATTAACGGTAACATACAACAACACAGGCTTTGTGAGAGCAACCCTGAGCAGAACTGGGTTCAGTGGACCACCGTCTTACTGCCCCGTGGCCGGCGAAGCAATGATGAACCAACCGAAATGCCCATCGCAAAGGTAAATCGGTGGACATTGGAGATAACCATCCTCTCCTAGTGGAGCTATGCACCGGACGATGTAGCAGCCCCGAGCAGAACAGCTCCAGCTCCGGCGGTCTAGCCGAATCTGTTGTAGCTGTATCTGTTGTTGGTGTACTGGTTAGACTGCGCGCTGGTGTCGGCCCTCTGCGAGTTGCCGAAGAAGCCCGAGCTGGAAGACTGGCTGGCCGACCCGCGGTTGTAGCTGGATCCACCGTTGCTGGCCGAACCCTGCAGGTCAGACAGGTCAGACAGGTCAGGCTTAGAACAGGGAGAGCTCCAGTTGTCGCCGGTCAACTGATTTGAACAACCTTGCGGGTCGGCTAACTGACCTGTGAACGACCTTGCGGGTCGGTTTATGTCGCCGGCATCGATTGCTGACAGCAAGTATCAAAAGATGCCAGGCAACGTCATGCATTAGCCGGCCAGTTCATGGGGAGCCACTTAGCATACTTTGGGGGCCTGACCTCCCCCCCCCCCCCATCCCATACTCAATGCATACAAGCAAAACAGAATATTGGGCCAATGAAACGCAGCAAGAGTCCGAACCGCGCTAGGCCCGAAACGCATCACTATCTATTCCAGTATCATCAGACAGCATCATTGTCCCTAACACGTCGGCTTCAAACACAAAGCCAGCCGTCAACAGCAAAATAGCTTTAGAGCCGATTATTTGTCTTTAAGCTCAATCTTGATACCTGGGGAGCAAATCAACACGAGCGAAATTTTGGGGGCAATCAGGAGGCGAGAACAGGTTAGGCCAGATTTGTTCCACCAGCCCCAGGCGATTTTAGAAATCAACACCTGCACAACAAGACGGAAACGCCAGTAACACCAGTAACACCAGAAACACCAGTAGCAACACAGAATCCCGATCTAACATTTTTTTGACCCAACGGTTACGTCACAGGTCATTGTGCCCTTCCGATCCATTATTATATTCATTGAAAAGATACGCTACCAGATTACTCTACCGCTGAGTAAAAAATCCCCTACGGATTTTCCGCAGGGACCCAATCGGTGCGTGTTCTACGCGAGCGTGGTGAGGGCACCGCCCACACTGACGACGCCGCACGATCAGCACGGCGCGAGACCGTGACGGTGCTGCACTCACCCCGGCGCTGGCTCCGACGGAGGTGATGCGGCTGCTGCCCTGGTTGCCGGAGGTGAAGCCGGACACGACGTTGGCGTTGGCACCGCCGCTGGCGCTGCCGCCGCGCTGGTTCCACCAGGCCGGCACGGGCACGCCGGCGGCTACCGCCACCAGACACAGCAGAATCGTGGCTGTCTTCATGGCTTGGTTTGGTCCTGCCGACGGTCCGCTCGCTCAGGAGGTGATCCGAGGCGGGAGTCTGAGAGTCTGAGTCTGTCGGTGACTCAGAGTCCGAGTCTCTGACAGTCTGAGTCAGAGCCTGACGCCGTCGTCACGTGGACGCGGCGATAGGCTCAGCTCTCGTGTGAAAGAATAGAGCGCGGAGGCTGGGCAAACCGATGATCTATGAGCGTGGGACTTGAGATTTACGATACATGGATGTGACTCTCGAAGGCAAACGGTGCGATTATACCACCACGCTTCGGGAAGCCGGACGGCCAAGGGTGCAAGTGAATAACGTCAGGATGCCGGCAGAGACGTCCACCACCGAGCTCACGTTTGCAAGGAAGAAAGAGGTGCGAATATGGGGAAACTCAACGAAGCTAATAAGACCGAGTTATCCCAAAGCCCCAGCCACAAACAACTCGACAGTTTACGGGCTAAGGCTGTAGGTATAACGGATGTACTGAATCATGTCTTAGAGCCACGGCACACAGGTGTTGAGGTAGGCACATAATGAAGCAGCAGATCAGGAAATCTAGTCTTGAAAACAGGTTCAAATGACCAGCCCCTTTCGTCCGCAAATTGTGAATCTGTTATTGCTGCTCAAACTGCGGCAATCACGTCAACAGCAACAGCATTCTTTCACGGTCGTATAAGACGTCCAGTTTGAGCCAACAGCGACAATGATCAGCGTGTTGTTAGACATGGCGTGTGCCATAAAACTACTTAATCACACATGGTCCTTTAAAAACCTAAAGATGAAACATTCAACCTGTCGGTTCCACAACGCGGGAAACAAGCGAAAAATAGTCCGGCAACAATACCTGAGCAAGCAGAGCGTACTCGTCCGCGCGGGCAGCTGACTGCGTAGAGCTTGCTGACCTTCCTCAATCGCCAGCTTTATACTGGTCCGACATGAGCGGCCGACGCCTGGGAATTCCCGGAGCCGCTGCCGGGGGCGGGGCCGGATTTGGACCGCTGGCGGCGCCCGGCTCGCTCGGTTCGTTTTACGAGCGGCCGCCTCCTGGGAGTTTCCCAGTGCGGCGCCGGCGGCTGCGCGAGGTGTGGGCCGCAGAACCCGCCCGAATTCCGCTTCCCTGACCCTCGACCGGGACGAGACCGGGGTCCAGTTCATTGACCCCTGGCTGACCTCCAAGTGAGCTGTTAGTGCGGTCGCGGCTCAGCGCTGGCTGACCTCGTGAACGGCAGTTGGGCGGACGCGAAAGGAGCAGGCTTCTTGTGTGATGTAGCACGCAGGCTCGTTTGCTTTGCTGTTTTGTTACTAGTCAAACGAGAAAGCTGAAGTTTGGTTACCGAGAAGAAGAAAAAAAAAACTGGAAAAACCGGAAATATTGCGCACCGTCTTCGTCACGTTCGGTTATCCGTCGTGGTCACGACTCCTGATGTGTTAGGAGATCGGTCATTTTCTGTGCCTTTTCTCTGCTTTATGTTTGTTTTTGACGATTTCACGAGCCATGGCGTGGAGCGATGAGTGGTGCGGGAGGATCTCCAGACCGGATAGACGTGGAGCACGGCGTGGTCCGGGGAGGATCTCCAGACTGGATAGACGTGGAGCACGGAGTGGTCCGGGGAGGACCTCAATACCGGATAAACGTGGAGCACGGAGTGGTCCGGGGAGGATCTCCAGACCGGATAGATGTGGAGCACGGAGTGGTCCGGGGAGGACCTCAATACCGGATAAACGTGGAGCACGGAGTGGTCCGGGGAGGATCTCCAGACCGGATAGATGTGGAGCACGGAGTGGTCCGGGGAGGACCTCAATACCGGATAAACGTGGAGCACGGAGTGGTCCGGGAGGATCTCCAGACCGGATAGAAGTGGAGCACGGAGTGGTCCGGGGAGGATTTCCAGACAGGATAGATGTGGAGAACGGAGTGGTCTGGGAGGATTTCAATAACGGGTAGACGTGGAGCACGGAGTGGTCCGGGGAGGATCTCCTGACCGGATAAACGTGGAGCGCGGAGTGGTCCGGGGAGGAGCTCTAAACACGTAATCCACAACGTCTTGCACCGCACAGTCATCTGTCGCAACCTTGAAGTCCATCGAATTCTGCGGGTTTTGCTGTGCTGTGTAAGTCAACAGGGTAATAACAGACAAATATCGCGTGATTGATTCAGAGCTCGGATCACAAGCACCGCTTACTGTGGGCAATAATCCCAAAAAATCCAACCGATTTGGAAATTCGGATCAAGTCTTTAAAAAATCGGGCCGTGGCCGGCATACTCCAGGTTTTCCTTGCCTCAAGTAAAACTCAGTCGACCAAAGCTACCAACACGTAAAAGCAACGACGCCAAACATGATCAGGGCAAGAAGACTCGTCAAGACGCGCTGGGCACGTTGTGCCATGTTTGCTGCCGTCGGTGCAGAACAGGAGCGCAGGGTTTGTTGGGAGCGGCCCGTAAGTGTCTACTCTTGAATGAATATCTCTGAGGGATCAGAGGCAAGGAGAGATGTGTATGATTTCTCTCGACAGAAGGAAATCCTTAACGTAGAAAGGGGAAAAGCGGAAAAAGACCAGAAGTAGGCTGAATCCAAAGCGTACAGGGGAAAAGAGTTGAAATGAAAAACAAAAAATTAAAAAACGATAAAAGCGAGAATGAAATGCTTCTGTCTCCATGCGGTGTTGAAAGCACCGATAACGCACCGAGTGACGTGGATGGCCATGGGCCTGGACGAAGGACGCAAACTTAGATGGATTCCATGGTCGCTTGTTTTATTCAAGCCTGGTGGGAAGCTGTTGCAATTTTCATGTAATGGGATACGCGCCTACAGCGGCCAGAACACAGTGTTTTTTTTATCAGCTTCGCCCGCAAGTGATATGAGGTGACCAACACAGCCGCGATCGCATCAGGCACAGAGCAATTGGTTGACTGCGGTCAACCAAGAGTAGTCGTTGGTGAAACTCATACGCTGCTATGACACTCGATGGGTATAAAGTCAAGCCTGGGTATTTGCTCACTGTCTACTGTTGGACAGCTCGATAGCACTTCCCCGGTAATCGCCACATCACAATGATGCGTTGCTGAATTTTGTTGGATAACTGGAGGTCGTTAAAGATTGCCAGCAAAGCTATTTTGACCAAAAGTTGCGTCTCTGGACATGTTTGCACCGTCCTAAATACTTGTTTAAATAGTTGACGATGGAAGTCACTGGCATTATATCCATCTCATATAAGAATTGGGGCAAGGAGTCAATGGTCTTTTAAACCTGGTGTATGGCAATGACTTCCATCTCTAATGTGACCTATCTAATGTGACCTGCACCTATAATATGACATCCCCTGGCCCAAAAGCATGACTCAATGGTATGTGTTAGCAGATTGATCGATTTGTTCGTGGAAGAAAACCACTTGAAACCGTGTGTTTACAGCAGCGTTGTATATGACGGTCTGCTGGTACTGCGATCTTATGCTCTATCTCCTCATGTATGGAGTAGCTTTAATTGAAATATGCTACCACTGGTGGTTAGCCCAGGAAGCCGCTTTTGTTATTACGTTACGTAAAGTTTTGACATTGTTTTTGGCAAGATACTGACAATCTCTTATGGAGCAAATATCTTTGGGCCCGTCTCAATGTTTAGTTTTTGTGCAACAGAAGCAAAGAAGTGCGATTGTCATTCCGGTTGGGTTGATCACATGCACCATTTTCCAAGACAATATGTATTCCTTTCTTCAACGCCGCGTTTGTAATGAAGGTTGACGAAAGCTTCCCGACATCGTTTTCTTTACGGCTTTAGCTTGTTCAGTCTTCGAGATCCTCGGTGAGGTGGGGGCGGTGGTGGGAGCAGGACTCCCGCTCTCTCCCGCCGTAGCCTAAACCTAAGCCTGTTTAAACCTTTTACCTAAGCATCAGCCCCTGCGGGGACATCGTTCCCGAATCGGTTAGCTTCTTATCCAAGTTAATACTACATCTTTCAATTCTGAGAAGCCAGTAGAACGATGCGGGAAAACCCACCGCTTTTTATGCATCTAGGAGTTGACCTTAGCCGACTTTCTCTGTTCAGCCCGAAACCCTACCTTATTTTATGAGGCTATTGCCTTGCATCTACTAACAAAGTAGGTACCAACGTATGCAGATAGGTTAAATGCGTCGTATACATGCAGCGTGTTCGGCCTGAATGCATCATTTAAAATTTGTATACAAAAGATAAAGTTCGTGCTATGTTCCGGATGCCAAACGCAGCCTGCCCGAGAATTGGACAAACGTTCCTGACTGGATGGCTGGGCCTCGTGTTCCATTGACACCAGCTGGTTAGTGATAACTATTCTTGTTGCGACTTACCATCATTTCAAGGCAATTGCTTCAAACAAATGTGATTGCATGTTAAGTGAAAAGTTTGTCACTTCTGATTCCATTTAAACTGCGGAGCGCAATGTTCAGTTCGGTGGTGTGCAAGTCATCCTGTTCTTCAAAACAACGCACCTGCGTCTCTTTCTTCATGTCACTTGGCTGAATGTCAAGGTTCTTTATTTCCGACTCGTTTGTTGAATGCAAGTGAAGTGTGGCTCTGTCTGAGGCACCCTCGAACAAGTGAACACTCTTCAGAGTGTGAGATATTGGCCGTAAACTTCAATTGTGGATCGAGTTTTTCATCGTTGACAAGGTGATGTAAAATTGCGGGTGAATATGCCACTTTGAGGGAGAAATCGATAGTTACGGAACGATCCACGGCTTGTGCCTTAGGCCCAAACTTGCAGTTTCTAGTGAGTACTTACCTACGTAATTATTTGCTGAGACCTACACTCTTTAACAGACCGATATTTTGGAACGCGCGAATCATTCATTTCTTTGCTGCTTGGTCCGCTTAAATATGTAGCATATATGTATGTATATATGCTATATATACATATATATATATATATATATATATATATATATAGGCATACATGTGTGTGTGTGTGTGTGTGGTGTGTGTGTGTGTGTGTGTGTGTGTGTGGTGTGTGTGTGTGTGTGTGTGTGTGTGTGTGTGTGTGTGTGTGTGTGTGTGGTGTGTGTGTGTGTGTGTGTGTGTGTGTGTGTGTGTGTGTGTGTGTGTGTGTGTGTGTGTGTGTGTGTGTGTGTGTGTGTGTGTGTGTGTGTGTGTGTGTGTGTGTGTGTGTGTGTGTGTGTGTGTGTGTGTGTGTGTGTGTGTGTGTGTGTGTGTGTGTGTGTGTGTGTGTGTGTGTGTGTGTGTGTGTGTGTGTGTGTGTGTGTGTGTGTGTGTGTGTGTGTGTGTGTGTGTGTGTGTGTGTGTGTGTGTGTGTGTGTGTGTGTGTGTGTGTGTGTGTGTGTGTGTGTGTGTGTGTGTGTGTGTGTGTGTGTGTGTGTGTGTGTGTGTGTGTGTGTGGTGTGTGTGTGTGTGTGTGTGTGTGTGTGTGTGTGTGTGTGTGTGTGTGTGTGTGTGTGTGTGTGTGTGTGTGTGTGTGTGTGTGTGTGTGTGTGTTGTGTGTGTGTGTGTGTGTGTGTGTGTGTGTGTGTGTGTGTGTGTGTGTGTGGTGTGTGTGTGTGTGTGTGTGTGTGTGTGTGTGTGTGTGTGTGTGTGTGTGTGTAATGTAGTGATATGTCGCGTAATGATATCATACATAATGTGCTATAGTATGGGTAAGCCCTTATGGAAACCTAAATAAGAGGAAAATAATAGCGTAATGCAGTGCAAAAAGCCAATGATTTTTCGCAACTTATAAAATACGTATGGGTTCACTTCGCATATGCGGTGGCGAACTATCGCATATCATACACTTCGCGCCGCATTTGCGGTGGTGACCTATGAACATATCATACACTTCGCGCCGCATTTGCGGTGGTGACCTATGAACATATCATACACTTCGCGCCACGTTTGCGGTGTGAGGCATTCCTCCAGTTTCCGGCAAGCGGTAGAGCAGAAGAGCCGTCATGTGGCGGCCGTGTTGTGACCCTGTTAAGCACCGGGAACTCATCGTTCCGCCGTTTACCGGCGCGCTGGGATGTCTGGGTAACACCAGCTTAAGTGCCGAGGTGGTGCTGAGTTGTCCGTTCGGGGTGGGAACAAGACGTTCTGCTCGGATGAATGTGCGGGGAGCAAAGAAACCCGCCGGTGTTTAATGTTATGATTAATGCTGGCTAAAAGCTTTCACGCATATGCGTTACAACGGCAGTGAAACATTGCATTCGTTCGTCTCGATTTCTGATCGGAAAACATGCCTCTCGTTTACTGATGTGTGATGTATTTGTCGATAGAGCTGATTTTCGAAGATGCTGCGATGTGCATAATCAGGCATGTAACATCTCGAACGAGTATACGCAAACACAACAAATCTGCGCTGCACAGCAATACGAACGCTGATCATTTGTGCCAGCTGTTCCGAGTCAGCGGAAGAAATGACACCAGCCATGATAACTTGGCTCACTCAATCGACGAGTTCCATTGCACCTGCATATAGCCTCTGCCGCAGCCCTGCCCCCCGACATGGCACATATAACGACAAGACAACCGCGCTCCGTATGGCATCAAGCTTGCTCGACGCGATAGCAGCCAGCGGCTCTTATCCAAAGTACCGGCGCCGTGTGAACTGGTTGGACTGGGCGTTGGTGTTGGCGTTGGAGAAGCCGCCGAAGATGCCGGAGCCTGACGTGAGGGAGGCGCTGCCGGAGCTGTAGCTGGAGCCGCCGCCGCTGGTGGAGCCCTGGGGAGAGATGGGTCAGCGTCAGACGGCTGCTGGTGGACTGCTTGACATCTGACATCTGGCACTGACACCTGACACTGCTTGACGTGTTCGCATCAGTGGCCGCCTAATGTGCAGCGGTAGCCGCGAATGTGCGGTCTGACATCCGCGCGAAAAAGGTTTCCAACAGACGGGGTCGATCTCTGCGCGATATGTGACGGCACAGCCCTTCTCGAACTCACGTAAGCTCCGGCGCTGACTGAGTTGATGGCCGACGAGCCGCCAAACCCGTTCTGCGTGGCCGACACCACGTTGGCGTTGGCGCCGCCGCTGGCCTGGCCGCCCCGGTTGTAAAACCAGCTGGGTGCGGGTCCCGCCGTGGCGGCGACGCAGAGGAGCAGCAGCACGGCGACAGTCTTCATGGCGACCTGTGGGCGTCGGTGCAGCGGTTACACCACCGGCGCGACACGCCTGGGCCGACGCTGCGCTGGGCCGGGCTGGGCTCGGCTGCAGACCGACGGAGCGGCAGCCTCGCCGCTCCATCGGTGAAAGCTGTGGTAACTGTAGCGGGCGTGGCCGCTTTGGAGCGCCATAGCGCGTCACCATATCTGGCAATAGTAGAAAATGTGAATTCTAAAAAAAAAACTGCGAGACACTGGCAAAGACTTGCCTGCGAATCTATTCGCGAAACACTATTTTGCCCCAGCCGGTGCTCGGCGCGCCAGTTGACCTGCAGGACTCGGGGCGGCTGACCTACCTTGTGAGTACCCGCTCGACTCTTCGTTCCGTGCTGTGGACTGCTTGTGGCCTGGCGTCCAGCCGACATTGTTTTATACGCGCAGCGGACGGCGGCAGGCGCGTGGGGAAGGCCGGTCTCTCCTGCGCCGGCGGCGGCCAGCTCGCTCACCAGGGACGTCCGCGCTCTGCCGGCAAACAGCCGTCCGGCGGCGGGCCGTCCGGCGGCCGCGGCACGCGAACTGGTCAGGCCGGGCGCGGCCCCGCCGGGCTCACGCGCGCCGCCGCGCCACGGCTGACGCGCCGCGCGCCAGGCTGTGATGCTACTACTAAAAACGGATTACTCGAGTAGATTTGATGTGAAAACGGGGGGAGGGGGGGGGGGGACGTGCGAAAGAAATACGGATCTGAAGAAAGAAATTGTGTTCGTTGAACGAAGTGTCGTAGCACGTTTAAACACGGCTTCATTTTTAAGAGTGAATTCAGAACCAACACCTAAGCACAAACTTCCACATATAAACGTAACTGTTCTTAAACTTTTAAATTTGGACCGGAAGACTAGATGCAGAAAGAAATTGAAAAAGCTGCTGATGAATTTTGGGGCTTTAGGCCGTGTTCAGAGTGTCGATCAATCAAGAGTTGTTGATGGTTGAAGGCGCGAACGACCTGAACCGATGACACTACCATCCTAACTTTATTGATACATATTGGGAAAGGTCAGTGGCTAAGACATAGTCACGCAGTGCACACATATTCTGGTTTTGTTAGCTTGTCACGCAAGGTTAAAGAAAACTTGTAGCGTTCACCCAGCCGAAATTCATACCTGACAAAAGTATTTCTACGTTTCTGAGAAAGCTTATATGTACATATGCATGCTTTCGTAGGGTCATAAGTGGCGACCTGTCCCTCAAAACTTTTGAAATACGTTTTCAGTAAGACATTTGCCTTCGAAGGGGCATCAAAGAGCTCCCGACATTTTTTTGGGATAAGCTGCACGCGGTGCTGAGTGTGGTACTGACATTGCGTTTAGATCACTTTCATATATTTGGTACAATGCTGATGCCTCTCACCGGGATGATTCGTGACGTTCGCGTAGTTTCCCATTCGCTTTGGAGGACTTGAGCCTCTAAAACATGGGCTTCAGCCCTCCCCCCTCGCCCAAACCTTAAAAATGTGTCAATTCCGGAGAGAAACTCGTTTGTTGGCGCACTGTTTTGGGTAAAATACGTCAATTCCAACTTTCAGCCTCCCAACTCATTTTGCAGACCACTATCCCTGATACATAACCTGCAGCCTTGTTCTCGAGATAATGTCGGCGACGATTCGCTGAAATTGACAGATAGTGATAGTTTCTCGCGGGAAATGCCATCCAATGAGGATTTCTAGCATGTTTCTAAGCTTTATCCAAAGTCATCGGAGGTCAGGCTAGGTTAAACTTTGATCATTTTTAATCAGACTTGATTTGATAAAGCCCATGCATTTTAAACACTTATGTTTAAACTATGTTTAAACACTAGGTATACGTCTAGCAGTTTTGAAAAGTATTCCTGTCGTTGATCTACGTGTTGACGTCGCTTATTTAATTTGCTATATAAGTGAACGGGCTTGTGCAAACCCATTCCTGTTCTTTTGACCTGGCGTGACATATGAAAGGTCACACCTGTCGATGTCTTCTAGTTCTGATCCGACAGGGGTTTTCATCCCCTTTAATCGCCATTTCCTTCATTGGCTTGGCATGCTTAGTTCTTGACATATTAGGAGTCTAGAATGAATGGAAAAAATAAAGCCAATTTAACTCTCATGAATTGGTTTAAGTTGTCAAAGGCCGTATTTATCATTTCAAATCGCACGTATGGGATACAGTTTGACAAGAGCTTTCCAATGTCGTTTTCATCGTAGCTCTAGTTTGCCTGCTGTTTGAAATTTTTACGGAGGCCTTTTAAGGACTTTGTATGTTTTGACTGACGTTGTAGTTTGTGATATATATTTTGAAATTTATCGAACAACGATGTCATTCATTGTTGTGTTTCACTTGAAGTTACCACAAGAAGAATATTTCGGTGTGTTTCATAACTACGCTGCTTATATCGGCGTCACAAAATACCGTAGTGTCGTTCGTCTTACTATTGGCAAAAAAAGGATTATCCATGACTGGGGTAGCCTTGAAGCGCAAGCAGCTGCATGCATTTATCGAATGGATGGGAATTAGGTACTATGATTGGTGCGTTGCCCAACGCAGTTCTTCTTGTTTTTTTTCTTCTTATTTGGTTTTGAGCTCATTGGCGGCCAGCATAAGATTCTTTCTGTTATGTTTTTTTAGGCTAAACGATCACCTGTACATCAGTGAGCAGGAGTGCCTTTCTGTCCAGCGACGGCAGAGGTTAACAGCAATATGAGGAACCCAAAGTCGCAAAGACGCGTTCCTCCCTGCCAAGAAAGGTGAAAAACTAGTCACATGAAGATTACACACACAAAAAACATGTTTGCACCTCCCTGACTAGACATGGTGATGGTTGTGGGTTAGAAGTGGTTAATACCAAATAGAACAGCAATGTTATGAGACTCTGAATTTGTCAATACTACCGGCAGAGTGCCTCATATATCAAACATAATATATATTTATATACATATATATATATATATATATATATATATATATATATATATATATATATATATATATATATATATATATGGGTGTGTATATATATGCTGAACAGCCTACCACGGGTGTTAATCCTAATGTGTTCTGAAATTCAAGCGTTGCAGGTAGCAATGCTTATAACGCTAAGGACAGACTTAAGTGTGATGAAGCGAAAGTAAATATATCTTGCATAAACGTATGCGCACACGCACACGCACACACACACACGCATACGCACACGCACGCGCACAAGCATCAATATTAGTTCGAACAAGAATCGAGTCAAATCGCTTATATAACCATGTCGAAGGCCAGGGATTCAAATCAAGCTTCATTCATTAAAAATTGGGGAATGCCTGATATGTTTCTGAATCTGAACTAGATCAAGCACAAACTTACGTGTGGCATGTGAAGGACCAATGCAAATAATCCGTTGGATACATAAGTCACCACATTTCGTTGAATTAGGCTCGTCTGACCAGGTTAGATTCGGTTAAGTTTTGGTTAGGTTAACCTGGGCTAGGTTAGATCATACGCTGATGGTCAGGCTAGATTACGTTACATTAGGCCAGCTTGGGCTGGGTCATGTTATATTGGGTAATGCTCGGTTAGACTGGTGAGGTAAGATTGGGTAATACCACAAACGACCAGCCAGGAACCTTCGGCACCCCGCACCCTGTACCCTTCAGCGTCCCGCACCCAATACCGTGGACGTCTCGGGTTCTGTTGACCTTTCTGCACCCCATGATCTTGCGACGAAGGATCCATGATCCGCTCCATGGTCTGGTGGCGGATTATGGTGGGGTGCAAACAACCACATTAAGCCTATATCCGATATATGACCAGTGAGCTCGCACCTGCTCCCACCCTTCGGCCATATTCCTGGCGATAGTTCGAAAGGCGAACGTTTCTTTTTCATGGCTCGACGCTGATCCCGCTGGTCACGATTATAACGACGGTTAAGGTTTAATATCCAGCCAATTTTAAACTAGACTTTAATCTATGTCCCCAGCCAATATAAAAGGGCAGTGCTTTTGCCAGCTAATCATTCATCGCTCCGGTATTAGCTTGCCGATATTGATATGCTTCTTTGTCGTTATTGATCTGTTGCGTTGTCGATGTTGTTCTGTGCTCTGCCGACATCGACCTGTTGCTGCCTTACTCGTTAATCACCGTCAGTCTAACATTTTTCCTGTCAATATTTGTCTTGTCCACATTTTCTCATTCAACCAATTTGTCCAAGATATTTAATCCTGTCGTTCTTTGCTCTTTCAATATTTTTAAATCATTATTTCTTTAATAATGTTCCACAAGATATTCGTCGCTCGCATGTTATCTACTTGTGGAACGTCGACGCTTACCTTAATTCGTTAACTTCTTCTGCTTAAGACCCCCGTGTCAGTAAACCATTTAAGGCACGCGTGAAAAATACATGAAATAAATACTGATGATCCCTTGCATCCGTAATTGGTGTCACCTGGCCTGACCCTGAGCAGCAAACTACGAAGAGAATCACATTTATACAAGCGCGAGCGACAGCTAGCATATATCTCCTCCGCGTGGACTGCGCGTGGACAAGCTGGACTCACGTCAACATTAATTCGAGGTGGGTCAGGGAAGCGTTCAAGGGGGTGGGGGACACTGAGCACGGACCAGTTCCGTCATCAAATTTTGGTGTACGTTTGTATGCGTATGACATATGCAAGTGTCACTTACTGCGGAAACCGGAAACGGTAGGATGAAGTGAAGCGTGTGGAGGGGTTTCAAGTTGTGCCATATCGGTTTGATATCGCTAATCGTTCTCTATGACGGTGATAAATGATGTCTGATACCACGACAGCGGAACGGTGAATGTGTCTGCTCAGTTTTGCCAACTGCACTCAAGCGGATCCGAAAAGGAGATCCAGGCTGTACAGCGCCAAAACTCAATGAGGCGTGACGAACACGCGCGTCCCTGAACCGCGAAGGTCAGTTATCTCTGCGGCTTGCGCGCTGCTGGACCGGCCAAACAGGTGATTTGTGTCTGCATATTAACGCAGGTGATTCCCCACCAACTATCATGGGCATATCATGGGATTCCCCGACTATAATGAGCATATATGATCCCTTGCATCCGTTATTGGTGGTATCTGGCGTGACCCTGAACAGCAAATTATGAAGAAAGTCACACTCTGCGTCGTCCAAATGTTCCAATCAAGGTTCCCTTGTTCGGAGTAGAGATTTGACGTCACGTAGACCACCATCCCACCATTAATTGGTACCGATGTTGGATACGAGTAGTTTGACCAGAACAAAAGATATCCCATGACCTTTGTTTTATAAGATACCGTCAAACAGGTTTTTCTTCGTTTCTCCAAAATAACAGAGGGTTCAAGGCTCGCCTGGTGTCCTGGCTTACACCAAGCGGGCAAACCCATGACAAGTTTACTTAGAAAGCATTAATAATCGGGCACGCACCTTTCCAGTACAGCGATCCTTCTACTTGCAGCACATACTGTCGTCGTCTGCGTTTTGTCACCAGGGAACTTGGA